GCTCTGGTCAGGCGATATTTGAACTGAGACTTGAAGGAAGGGATGGAGTGAAGCGTGTGAAGATGTGGCCAAAGCAAAGGCCAGGAGCTCGTCCTGGGCAGCCAGAGCAGAATGAGTTTGGGAAACAAACACTGTGCAAAACAAGGCTGGAAAAGGAGCAGAGACCAGATCAGGGAAAACCTTGCCAGTCATGGTCAGGAGCTTGAATTTGTTCCTAGGTGCAAAGGGAAGCCATTTGAGGATTTTAAGCAAAGAAGTGACATCAACTGATGTATTTTTAAAAATATGAATGCTATGCTAGGACGAACCCAAGGAAAGAGAAGATAAGAAACCTGCTCTTTATGCGAGTACAATGAGCTAGGAGTAAAATCTCTCTTCTGCCTATTCCTCTTCCAAACACACTTCAAACTGTGGTTGATATCTGCTCTGAGATTTGCTACAGAGTACTGCTTGCAACTAGATTTTTCTCCTACTCATTGCCTCCCAAAGTAGCATGAGCCAAAGCTGACGGGCAGGATGTGGTTGTGGCCTGGGGTGACCACCATCCCTTCCTCCAGTAGCTCAGAACCATTCCTCTTCCTGCACGAGTCACTGCAGATCATGCCGGATACCCTGAGTGCCCACACGGTAATGACAGCATGAGATTCCGGAGGAGCCGAGAAGCCTCCTCCTTCCCCCTCACGCTCCTGCCTCTCCGCAAACACAGCCACAAACTACTGGCACCTGGGCTAAAATTTGCCCAGCAGAAAACAGCCCCTTCCAAACAAGACATTTTCCTCTGCTTTCTTTTTCTCTTGTGGCTAGGGGCAAAGAATCCCATTGGCTAAGTCATCTTGGTAAACAGATTGCTAGATACAAACCATCTTCCCTAGGCACACAGCTCTCTTAACACAGAAATAAAATTAATAAACTCTGCCCTCTTCACTGCTGGTCTACCTCACTATCTACCTCTTTCTGGGCCTGTGGAGTAATGCTGATGTGGGAGGTAGACCAAATCATTTACCCAAAGCCGCATCCTAAATGGGCCATCAACACTTTGTAGGTATTATTTATCCCTTAATGTTAAAAGCTAATTACCAGTGCCAATATAATATTGAATAAAATGTATAGGCTCTGTTTCCCCAGAACAAAACAATACATGTTATCACTACTATTTTTAGAGTAAAATTTGGCACTAGATGCAAAATCGATTTGGCCTTGACAAACTGAAGGCCTTAAGGTATCAAAATATATGTTCTCTGTTAGACATATCAGGGCTCAAGTCCTGGTCCACCATTTGCTACTGCTGGTATGTCTTTAGGCAAGTTACTTAACTACCCTGAGCCTCAGTAGCAGCATTTGTCCAATGGGGAACCCCCCTCACTGGGTTGTCATTGAAGACTAAACAAGATCATGCATGAAAGTGCTTAGCGCAGTCACTAGCACAGAGTAAACGCCCATTATTGTTAGCAAAATAAGACCTCATGGTAGATAAAACTATGCAAGTCGTAAAATGTGTCAGCATTAACTTTTATCAACAGACAGAGAGCTATTACATGTATCACATAATAATAATGACAGGAATATTAAAATTGGAAAGCATATAAGCAGACAACACATACAGCTGAAATACAGGAATTCTAAAGGACTTTAAACTAGCTATACTTACCCTATTGACTCACTGTTTCCTGCCTGCCAATAATTTTACCTAGTAATGCTCTCTGTATTATGATAAAAGCTATTGATAATTTATTGAGTATGTAATTTATACCAGGCACTGTTATTAAGTGCTTTATGAACACATTTACTCTTCACAACTCTGAAGTAGGTACTATTACTATGCATGTTTTACGTATGGGAAATCTGAGGCAGGCAGTTTGACTCTGAAGCCCTCACTCTTCAACTCTGACGTATACCAGACGATGGCAAGCTATGGCCAAATCTGGCCCTTCACCTGCTTTTGTAAATAAAGTTTTATTAGAACACTCCCATGCCCATTCATGTACTTATTGTTTTTGCCTGCCTTTGCCCTACAACCACAGAGTTGAGTAGTTGCTACAGAGACCACATGGCCCACAAGCCTTAAAACATTTACTATCTGGCCCTTTACAGAAAAAAGTTTGCCAACCTCTGATATCAACTTTAAACTTCACTAAAAGACTTAGGTTTGGAAGGGAAGAAATAATATCTTATAATAATAATAATAATGCCTTATATTTTGTATTGACAGTGGACTTTTACAGATTTATCTCACTTAATTCTAATAGCAAACCTATGGAGTAAATAGTCTTTATTTCCATTTTAAAAATGAAGAAACTGGGGCTCAGAGAAATTAAATGACCAACCATAGACTAGACATAAACTACTTAAGTGTAGGGATCATGTGTTTCTATCATCATATCCCTGTCACCTACCACAACGCTAGGACAGAGTGGACACTCAGAAAACACTTGCTAAATGAATGACAGTTGTAAAAGTCACCTAGTTAGAGAATCCAGGCCTTCTCCTATTCCAGGGTTCTCTCTCCTGACTCCACAGCTGCCCAGAAGTGAAAAAAGCAACTTTCCCTTGAGATGGGATGAAAACGCACAATAGTTGCCGTATCATTATGCTGTCAGTTGACAAATTTTCGCTCCTCTGTTCCTCCTCCTAATAGAGAGGACCAAAGGGCTTTTGTTTCCTCTCAAATGCACAGTCATAGCCCTGAGAGTTTTCTTGTCCTTGTGATTGGTGCCTTTTTAGACAAGATTGAAACTGACACCCTCATGAGATGGTAGTCACATGTAACGTGGGTTTTGGATGGAGTTCAAGCAGCGCTCTGCCCGCCCTCCTCCCTCCCCCCCCACCCCAGCCAGTGATGAGTCACAGTGCACAGTCCACTGCCCTTCAAGAGCCAACGCAAGGCTTTTGTTTTCTTTCATCTTGCTTCGTGCTGGTCATGTGAGGCTCAGGGTATTAATGGCCCTCAACTACGCCTTCTCAGGCTTGCTGTTGGTCAGGGAGATAAATGAAAGGTTTGGCCAGTCCCTTTGTACCATTTTCGTTCCTCTCGCCTGTCACGTGCTGGTTGGTGTCAGAGCTAAACTAGACAGACAGACAGCATCCGGTGTGGTTGCTGCCCACGGACGGGGCCTCTACTGGTGTTTTGATTTCTTGCCTATTGTTGTGGATGCTCAGCGAGCACCTGACTCCCAACCTCAGATCACCCGCGCTGATGGCGCTGACCACTGACCGTAACAAACCACCTCCTCCTCCCGGCCGAGCGGCTGCATCTCTCCCTGCATGTGTAAAAGATACATAAGCCAGGCAGGAAAACAGTTTTTGATATGGGGTTTCATTTTGTTGTTGTTGTTGTTTTCAATTTAAAGTAAAATTATATTCAGGAAATTAAAAGTCTGTGTGTGGTTTGACAGGCTCCTAAAAAACTCCACGGGGACAAAAATTTTAAACAAATGCCTTGGAAGCAGAGGTGCTCTGAATGGCCGGGGGCGTTGATCCAAAAGTTTCCATTCTCCTCTGCAACCCAATTTTTATAATTTCACTTTGCTTCTTCCCTCAGCCTTGATTCCATAGCCCAACACGGTGTCATGCTCAGTGTTTATTGACCTGATGTCAAATTGGGCTGAAACCTGGCCAGGAGATGAAATTCTCTTAGAAAGTTTCCTGGGATCAGATTCCAGGCTCAACGTAAAAGGGGTCTTGGTTCTCTCTGTCTAGTCAGTTATCCTTGGGGGCCTGATGGGTTCTGATGAAATTAAGTATTTTTACTTTATATCAACTTCTTTTGTTTGGTGACTCTTTGAAAGCATGAAGTGTGTCCTTTTATTTTTCTGTGTTGAGAAGTACTGCCGAGTCCTCTAACTGGTTGTAGAGTGGATCATAAGCTTAGTCTTTGGAACCTTTGCTCATCAGTTAAGTGGATTCAGCAGGTGATCTCTAAGACCTCTTGCAGTCTAAAGTTTCATTTTTCAACAATAGAATCTTTCATTTTTTAAAAAAGATCTTGCCCCATATGTAAATAATTTTGCTAAAAAGGGAAGAAAGATTGGACTAAGGGGACACTGACTTCAGTTATTATCTTTGTTTCTTTTTGTCTGGCAACAATGGGTGTGGTAGGAATGGGACATACTCTTTCAACAAATTAATCAACCTTTATTTAGCACCTACTTTGCACCAGGCACTGTGCTAAGGGCTTTGTGTGCATTCTCTCGTTTAAAGCTCACAACCACCTTGGGGCCTCTAAGTGTTATCACTACAAATGAAGAAACTGGGGCACCAAGAAATATCGTAACTTGCCCTTAATCACAGAGCTAATAAGTGGCCAAATCAAGACTTGAATCTGAGGCTAAGAGCTACAAGGATCCTACTTGTTAGCCACAGTGACATCATTGCCTCTAAGAAATGAGTATATATACTGTACATCCCTGAATTTCTCTCTCTCTTCCTGCGACTGGCCTCTTTCTCCAAAAAGCTAAGGGTAATGAGAGATTTTCCTTAACAGACATGTTTATTGGACGCTGCAGAAGCAGGAGATATCTGGATGAGAATCTCCACTCCCTTGGAACGTGCACATGGTTGCTAAGCATGAGCTTTTAGGTGCCTTGAGAGCAGTCGGTGCCAGTGGGGAGAAGAAGTTCAAGTCGGGGCAGAAGAATTCCCGCTAGGGGGTGATTTTGCAGAATTCAAAACTTTCACAGGTCACCAGGAGGTTTTGTTCCCTTCAGAGTATGTCAGTTCCACTTGCTGAAGTAGGACAAATAGAATGGATTAGTCCTGGCTGAAGCCAAAACTTTATATTTAAAAGAAAAAAGCAATTAAATATTCAGCCCTGATTCCTGGGTTTTGAATTACCCCATTTATCTTTCACTCTGAGCATCTGCTTTTTATTGCGTTGTGGCCCTGCCTGCCATTTATCTCTCCCCGTCAGTCTGTGGCCACGTGTCATGGGACTCAAAAGTAAAGATTAGAAGAGAAAAATATCTCTGTATTCTAAGCCTGGCGACTTCTATTTTTATCCACAGCTGTTGGAACTGATAGCAAAGTCACAGCTCACGTCCCTGAGTGGCATCGCCCAAAAGAACTTCATGAACATTTTGGAAAAAGTGGTACTGAAAGGTGAGCTCTCTCTCACTCTCTCACCCCTTTTTATAGACATGGGGATGGGCAGATGGATTTTCCAATAGAGTGGGCATGTTGTTAGATTTAAAGAAATGTGCACGGTTGGAAATGAATAACTCCAGCTACATTTCAGGGGTGCCAAATTCCAATTCAGAAACGGGTGCAACTCATCCTCATGGCAAAGGGGGAGACCGACGCCCTCCTGTCCTTTCTTTAGTGTCACCCATATGTCCTGCTGTAAGGCTTCTCAGTGTAGGCACATGTCCCAACCTTGGCTACTGAGACTCCAGATTCCAAATTCCTAGAAAATTGAGCTATGCATAAAGGCAGAACAGATTCGTACACTGTTTTAAGCTAGAAGGAATCTTAGGTCTCTGGTTCAGCAGACTCATCGTATTCATGGGGAAACGGAGGCCCTGAGAAGAAGTGATTTATCTGTAATAATGCAGAGAGCCAGCCAGACAGGATTAGAACCCAAGCTCCAAAGCCCCAGAACCATGTTCCTTGCACTGACCATTTAAAAGGGACGTCACTGCTGGGCAAAAGGAACAGCTTTCTGATCAGGTGAGCCGTGGGCGCTGGTGGAACAATGAAAAGAGAAAGGGGCTTTATAGAAAACCAGGGAGAAGAGAACAAAGAGGGGCCTAGATAAAGGAAACTCTACCCCTTAACCTCCAGTGCAGGAGCTTGGCCAAGTGTAGAATAAACACCGGTGAAAAAGAAAACCGTATCCCCAGAGGCAGTGCCTGGGTAACATGAGCAGAATGGAAAAGAAGAAAAGCCCACTTATAAAATACAGGATGTTCCAGTATCATAACTGCAATTATTTTTTTCTTCCCCTCTCAAGTCCTTGAAGACCAGCAAAACATTAGACTAATAAGGGAACTACTGCAGACCCTCTACACGTCCTTATGTACACTGGTCCAGAGAGTCGGCAAGTCTGTGCTGGTCGGGAACATTAACATGTGGGTGTATCGGATGGAGACGATCCTGCACTGGCAGCAGCAGCTGAACAACATCCAGATCACCAGGGTAAGCAGGTGCACCCCAGCCTCACCCTCACATGACTGTCCCTGGGCTGAGATGCTGGACAGCCTCGCCAGGACTTTAAATCCGCTCTGGTGATGGAAGAACCCGGTCTGTTCTGATCTGATGCTTGGTCCTGGCGCTGCAGGTGGGCTGGGGGAACCCCCTGATACAGGGAGGGCGAGAAGAAGAACTTGGCAAAACGGGACCTAAGTGCGTGAAAGATGACAGATGGCAGTTGAACCATCATGAGAAAACTGAAAACTTGGCTTCTGGGGAGATACTGGCTGTCGTGCTGATATCTTTAGTGGGGTTCGGAGATCTCTGCCCATTTCCTTATAAAGAATGAGTTGTCTGCAGCTTTGGGATGCTGCCTTGGATACAATAGAGCTGTGAAGGCTGTGGCTTGGAGCATTGGTACCAGCCTTCTAAAATTCTAGTTCCAATTATTGGTAGTTATGACAAAGGAAGGCTTTGATTAAAGACTGTAAACGTACATGTGGGAGAAGATGAGCAATTCTCACTGAAAGCAAAAAGAAAAGGCTCTATGTTACCAGCAAAGCATGGCTGTCTCTATCAGTAGTTTCTTTTGGCTTGCAAAACACGACTTGGCCCTCAGCTCTTGTCCTCTTACTAGCGAGCAGGAGGACTAAGGCACACAAAAAATGTGAGAAAGATGCTGGTGTAATCTCTTAGGGCTCACTAATGGACAGATGCACTTAGGCAGCTCACATAGCACTTTGCTCGTTTATCTAATCGCCCGCCGTGGCTGTGTTAAGCGGTTTCCGGGACCCACGGTGATAATGTTTGCAGCTGCCCCATGGTGGGAGAAGGGAGAGTGAAGAAATCTCTTTGACCTCTTTTAAATAACTATTTTACTATATGAAGTTTTCAAAATACATATCCTTGACTTTACTGTTAATGAAATCTCTGTGCCTTAGATTTTTAAGCTCTGAAACAGAGGGAATAATTAGAAGCCTCAGAGTTATATGACTTCCTTACAGTCACTTAGGCTAGTCACCCATGCTCACACCCACATACACACACACACAGACACAGATATACACACACAGAGAAGAGCACAAATGCAAGTCATCGTTCAGAAACAATCAGAATTCTTGGATTATTTAAAGAGAATGTGTTTGTTATGAACATTTACCTGATTTGATATATTCTAATAATGTCCTCATTCCCATCCCTCAAGTGTAGGCATAGTTTGACCTTGTGAATTGAGACCAAAGTTCCCAGCTTATCTGTCACAGAAAACCCACTTACACCTTCCATCTGATTGCTGGTATTCTCCGTGACCCTAACCCTAACCCTAACCCTAACCCTGGACTTAATACTTTTTTTTTCTAAGACCAGTAGAGAAATTTCCCAGCCAGTGATATGAATGAGTAAGTCCCATTTGTCCTAAGGGCATCTTCACTCCGCAACTTTGAAACGGTCATGAAGATGGTCACATTTGCCCAGAGCTTGCCTCCATTCCCTCTGTCCACCTCCTGCAAGACCCCTTGGCCGTCTCTGCCCCCACACCTTGCACGTCCGTGGGCTTACTTCCTCAGAGCCCTTCATAGCTGATGCACACTCTTGGGAAGTAGCATTGTGATTGCTATTACTCTTCTGGGGCGGGGGAGGAGTGGGGACCAGAGAAGCACAGTGACTTTTTCAGAGTTACCCAGCAATTAGGGCCAGAGCCGAGGCCCAAACCCTGAACTCCTTATTCCTAAAATGGTGAAGCTTGCTTAACATCGGTGGTATCCAAACTTTTTTCAATCTAGCTTTCTTCCAACTATTTATCCAATGATCCAGCTTTATTTAAACCTCTTTAATCCAATGAAATCCCATGCAGAAGAGATCAAACACTGAAGCTCACTCACTCCCTCTTTGCACGAGGAGCTCCAGCCAAGCCGTGCTGTTCTTTGCACGCTCCAAGCTTGGTCCTGCCTCCAGGCTTTTAAGCTTGATGCCTTCCGTGACCTTCCAATCCATCGACACCACTAGCACATCGCCTTCCTTCGTGCAGTTATTACAATCTGAAATTGTCTCATACCTATGCACTTTTCTGTCTCCGTCCACCAGCTTATGAATTCCATAAAGAAAGGGTGTTACCCATCTTACTCCTTCTACCAGGCACAGAGCAGGTAACTTTTAGTTGAATGAATGAATGGTTGAAGAGGAGCCTCCTCCCACAGCTCGCCTGAATTGCTTGTTCAGCGTTCAAAGGAACACACTTGGAAAGTACTGCCCTATGTTAGGGATGACGATGACAATTTGCCAGCTTCAGGATTTAGGGCCAGTTATTCAATCTCTCCATGCCTCACTTTCCTCGTTTGGAAAATAGAGACAATAAGGCCTCCCTCATAGCCCTGGTGTGAGATTTCTTATGTTAATATATAAAAAGCAGTTGGCATAGTGCCCGATGCAGAATAAGTATTGTAAATGTGGTAACTGTTATTATTATTAAGGATTTGCTCTGTGTAGACACTGTTCTAAGTCCTTTAGGTGTATTAATTAACTCATTTAGAAAATAATTGTAAGTAGGAGTCATTATAGTGACTAACATGTACCGGGCACTGTGCTAACTACTTCTATGCGTTATTATTTCTAGCAAGTCTATAAAATATATTTATCCACATCTTATAAATGAGAAAAATTAGACCGAATAGTTAAGAATAATGTGGCCAGGGCGGTGGTGTGAGAAATAAAGCCAGGCCTCTCTGCAGAGGCTGTGCCTTGCCCCTTCCTCTCTCCCGTCCTCTGCCCCAACTCTTGTGGCTCTGAGCTACATTGTTTTTGAGAGCTGTGCCAGAACCCATGGAGCCCTGTAGGGCTTTGCACACAGATGCCCAACTCTCGAAAGGAAAGAAAGATCAAGAGAGAAAATGAAAGGAAAAAAGAGAAAGGACTTAATTACTTCAGTCTGGACTGTATTTTAAAACTCACATTTTTTTGATCAGTTTGGCCCAAAGAGAAGTACATTGTTACATAAAAATATTAAGGTAACTTTCATAGTAAATGCTTTTATTTGCCAAAGTTCTATCAGTATCTTCCCGGTACATAATCTTGTTTTCCTTTCAAATTTTCACATCTAATTCTATGGAGCCAGTTTTTACTGGAAAAAAATAATTAATATAATAAAGGATGAAGGAAGAAAATTAAGAGAAGTGGTTTGTAGGGGGGAAAAATCAAATATAATGACAGTGTGCTGTGGGCAAGGCAAAGTTTGGAAGCATGGGAGGGAGAAGGGCAGGGTAGGTACAAATGGATTTTAGCCAAATGTTAGATTAGAGGAGCAAGAGGGACTTATTTTTCTTTTATATGTTTATATTCAAATAGAAGGCGGCTCACAAGTAGTTAACCATTTCTCAGGAGTAAGGACTCAGCATGGGGTCTGGGCAAGGATTTTTGGAAAAGTGCAGGTTTGAAAATTTGACAGAGTGAACTCTGCCAAGTGGACTTGCCTTTAATAGGAGTTAATGTAATAATTGGCCTGGGAGTTTTAACCAAAAAAGTAGAGGCTTTGAAGTGCTGGAAACAAAAAGAAAATCTCATGGCAGTTTTATTAGCTCATATGATCAGCAGCAGATGATAAACGACAAATAGGTCTAGGGACCTTCTGCCATTGGCAAAGACCTGAATTTTGCAAACAATTGAAAGTTCTGCCTAGCCCCTGAGGCAGAACTGAGCCATACAAATTGTCAAGTCATAGATAATTCTGATGAATAGGAGGCTGAAGCCCTTCCAAGTCTGAGATTGTTAGAATTGGAAGGGATCTTCAGAGTTTTCTAAACCATTCATTTTGAACGTGGAGAAACTGAGGCCCAGATTTCCCAAGGGAGTCTGGGCGGCTGCTCATGCATCCAGTTTTCATCCCATGCCACAGGAGGGAATTGCTGAGACCAAGTGTCCCCTGGAATCCTCTTTGTATTTGGGCATCGATGTGCTTCATATAGAGTTTGAGGAGGGAAATTGATACCCATTCTCAGGATATCATTTCTCAGGGTATTAACCCTTCCTGAGCTAAGACAGGGAATTCTTCGTCCTGTATTTTTTTCTCTGTGACCTCTCAGAGGTAGCAGAACATTGACCTAAAAATGTCAGTAGTCTAAAATTGAGAGTTTACCCAGAACTAGTGTGGAAAGATGAGGAACACAGTCCCACGTGTTCCCACAGGAACCAGCTTGAGAGTAGAGGACGAGGGGACAGCTGCCTCCTTGGAGGGTGTCAGCTGCTGAATTGCTGCCCTCTGACCCCCAGCTTGTCATCCTTCTCTCTGCAGCCCGCCTTCAAAGGCCTCACCTTCACTGACCTGCCTCTGTGCTTGCAACTGAACATCATGCAGCGGCTGAGCGACGGGCGGGACCTGGTCAGCCTGGGCCAGGCAGCCCCCGACCTGCACGTGCTCAGCGAGGACCGGCTGCTGTGGAAGAAGCTCTGCCAGTACCACTTCTCCGAGCGGCAGGTCGGTGGGGCCCCGGCAGGCCTCCCCCCCTTCCCCATCCCCCCCCGCCCTGCCCCCACCCTGAGCTCCCTTGCCGTCCTTCTCAAGCATGAGGTGTGGGTGCCTCCTACTCCAGGGCCTTCTGGTGTGACTAAAAAATGACAGTCTAAGGAGTTTTTAAATAATGAGTATGCGAGGGGTTGTTTGTTTGTTTTCAGGTAGTTTTGCTGAGGAAAAAAGCTTACGTTCTTAACCTATTCGCATTTTACAACTTGCTCAAAAAAATTCATAAATTGGCACCCATCCTTTCTTTCTGTAACCAAATAACTTACCTTTTTTGGGTACTTCGCAGTGAAAGTGCTTTCACAGACATTATTTCATTTTATTTTAATGACTCAGGAAAGGATAGTTATTAATCTGCCCACTTTAAACAGATGAAGAGACAACAGCCACAAATGGCTAAGTGACATATCGAAATTAGTGAAGTGGCTCTCTGGGTGAGGAAACTGGCCTTGAACTTGAATTTGGGCCTTCAGATACCAACTCCAAGCCGGTTTCCCCTCATCATGCTGCCTCAAGTTTGTTGGTCTTTTTCCAGTTTCTTTATATAGATGTGTGAGTTTAACAAGTTCTGTTCTTGAAGCCACTAATATTTAGATATAAAATAGAGCCACAGTGCCAAGCAGCTATTCCATCTACCTGGAAATAATCACTCAAGTCCATACAGTGAAGAAAAAATTGAAGTTGTTTACTAAGATCACCTAAACTTTAAAGGAACATCCAAATGTGATTTAGTAAAGGTCACTAAGAACAAATTACCAGTCACCTGTTTTCTTTTAAAGACTGGTTAAAAGCTACTGTTTAACTGGGAAGAGATAAGAGAGTACTTCTTTACATCTTGATCATTTTTTCCTCTGGCTATTGTAGGGTAGACATTAAAAAAAAAAAAAAAAAAAAGAGGAAAAGAGGGTGGGAGAACTTTTCTAAACCAGGAAAGCACAAACCATCTTCTTGACAAACTCTGCTGAAACTTCCTTCATTCATTTGATTTTTTAGATCCGCAAGCGATTAATTTTGTCAGACAAAGGGCAGCTGGATTGGAAGAAGATGTATTTTAAACTTATTCGATGTTACCCAAGGAAAGAGCAATATGGAGATACCCTTCAGCTTTGCAAACACTGTCACATTCTTTCCTGGAAGGTATGTGTCTCAGAGGTGGCCACCACAGACCCCTCGCCCAGCTCCTAAAAGCCAATAGTGCCAGCCAGCCTCCAGAGGCCAAATCTTTTCCTGTTCTTTCCCTATATCAGGCCCCACCTTAAAGTTAGGATGAAACTGCTTTAGTGCCTCGGGGGAGTAGAAAGGGCAGAGGACTTTCAAAGACCTTCATTTCTTTTTACCCCCTTATGTTTATTTTTTCTTTTTTGTAACCCCTCCACCCCTAAGTCCTCCTAGCTCTGTGTGCACGGGTGCACATGCATGTGGATGCAAGCACACAGCTCTTTAGTTTTTCCAAACCTGTAGCATTCTTGACAGAGAATCATTGTTTTGAATTTGAGCAATGCCTTATGGTGCCAGAAGCCAACGAGATGCCTCTGAGAACCCAAACCTAACCACAGCATTCCCTTCCAGGGCACTGACCACCCGTGCACCGCCAATAACCCAGAGAGCTGCTCCGTTTCACTTTCACCCCAGGACTTTATCAACTTGTTCAAGTTCTGAATCTCAGCACAGGACAACACTGCAGAAGGGTCCCCCTGCTGATTGGATAGCTGGGAATACGGTGTTTGGACGCTCCATTTGTAAATAGTGTACATTTTAAACATTGGCTCAAAACTTCTGAGATAAGTCATGGAGAGGACATTGGAGGGGAAGGATGCAGTTGCTGAGTGGGAATTTAAGACTGTGAACTCTTCATTAGAATCGGTATGGAAAAGCAGAAATACTGTAAATAAACTTTTTTTTTTCCTAACCATTTGCCAGCAAGACTATAAGGGGCAAGAATTCTAGTTCAGCAGTGAAAATGGAATTCTCTTAATGTTCGTGGAAACTCCTTTATAGTTCCCTAGGAAGAAAAAGGCAAAACTCAAATACGAAATAGAATACTCTGTGTTTACAATGTGAAAATTTGTTTAGGAAGAAAAAAAAAAAGAGAGAGAGAAAGAAAAAGAAGAAAAGCTACATATAAGAAATCCTTGGGCTTTGGGTTTTGATTTGGAGTTTGTTTTGGAAAGCAGCGAAAGCACAGCGCCACCCATCCTAAACCCGCACAGGTGTAGGCCCTTATCCCGCAGACACCACACAAAGGTCTACCTCTATAAGCATAGAGTACTCTGACAATGCGCGTGATCCAATAGGCTGTGTCTGTTTTCCTCTTAAATGTTTTCATCACTATAAAAAGTGATTTTAAATCGAAAGGGGTATTGGAAGCAACCCTCATCTTGTTTCACACTCCCTTTTCAGGCAAACAGGGCCCTCTTTGGAGTTGCCTCTTTCCTAGAACAACCCCAAAGTACATGTGTCTTTTTTTCCTTTCATGTTGTGGCTCCTTTAGGGGAAACAGAAGGCCAATTTAAAAGGGTAGCAGAGGAAGGCCTGCCACAGAAGAGAGAGAATTAGCCTCGTGGTAGGTGTGAAGGTTTCCTTATTCCTCTTGAACTTCCTGGCTCTTCTGGGCTTCCTTGGGTATCTCCCTGGATAAGCATATGTCTGGGGACTGATTGAAACCCAAGTGTTGAGGCTTGAAAGACTGGTTTTCCCTATCAGCCCATTCAATGTTTTACCTGTTGCTGTTCCCCTTGCCAGTGTGATGAGCTAGAGAGCTTCTTTGCTTTAGGTCTGACATCAAAGTTTAATCAACCTGAGTTAGGTCTCTTTGCAAGATTGATTAAAAATAAAGGCTGGTGTTCCAGCCAAATAGGAAGCAGAGGTACAATAAGTTCATCTTAAACTTGCTGGGAGCTGGACAGTCAAAACATAAAGACCCCAGGGGATCTTGCGAAGCAAATATTAGCAGTCACTGTGGAAGAAAGGAAATCTCAGGACTTGATGAGTTAATTGTAAAATATTCCTGGGAAGGGCTGGGGGATGTTTTTGTTTTTTACTTTTTATAGAGTGTTGCTTTTCTACAACAATGTACATATATTTGAAGTTGTATTTGCTTCTTTGTTTTTTTCTCCCAAATAAAATTGTCACCCTGCATGCCCTTGGCAAAAAGTGAAGCAGAAATAGGAACTTGGTGCACATTCATATTGAGGAGCAGTGTATCCTTAAAGGTTGATCCTTAGAGTGATCCAGAAAAGGGGAAAGGTGGCTAAGCATGTACAGAAACAAGGCAGGGGACAAGCTAGTGATGCAACACCTCGTCATACCATTCCTTCAATAACACACAATCTGCATGTCAGCATTCTGTAGAGAAGTAAACTATTCAGTGCTCCTCACTTTGCAATGTTTGTGCCTATAGCAGGACTTCTCAGTATTCTTTTCATTATCATCCCAAGAAGAAAAAAATTAAATTGCATTTAAATTTTCTCTAATAAGAAAAAATAAATATGAAAGAATAAGATTTTTGTTGGATAAGGTTGAGCCTTGGAGGGCCACAAACCTTTGTAATACCTAAGGTTTATTTTTTGCAGTCCTTTTCTCCCCCTGAATCAATTTCACATTGGGAATGCAGGGCCTAGAATGTTGAATAAAAAGATACTTCTTCCATAATTGTCAGGTTCTATCAAATTTCTCAGCTTCTTTAAAGATGTGGGGTGGAGCTGGGTCTGTCATTAGTGGGAGAGCTCCGGAACCTTTGATTCCAGATGACAGTTTTAGATTGAGGGGTTCATGGCCTTCTGCATCTTCCTATCAACTTGTGAACTCTGCTCCATCAAGAAGGTAGAAACTCCTCAGCTCCTTTGGGTTTGAGTCCTAGAAACGTGGCCAGCTTTGTGCTGTTAGCACAGAACTGGGGAACCAGGCAGCAGCATGCATCTGTGCAAGATGTCCCCGGCCCCAAGTGACAGGGTTACTGTCTTCTGAAACCTTTGCCAAGATGGTGCCTGTGGGCTCACCCCACACCCTTTGGTGGTATTGGAGATGGTGTATGACAGAGTCAAGGAAATTTAAGGAAAAAAGAGAAAATCAACATTTATGGTTCTCTTTCATTGGAAGATGAGAATAGGAAGGAAATGGCAGGTGGAGAGGGAGAGGGAAAGGAATAGAAATGGCATATCTTTGATGCTGTGGTTTGTGCAGGGGCAATGGGAAGTGCACGGCATGCACGGAGAATCTGTGTTGGACACCCATGGTACCTGTTACACATGCCCGGAGCCTCACATATAAGTAAAGTGAGTTAAAAAGTAAACTTTTGCTCCCTGGGCACTAATAGTCTTTAGAGTATCTATGGGCAAACCATCCCAGGACAACCTGACCTAAAAAACAAAGAATCCCTGTCTCAGGGCATGACAATGGAAACTTCTATAAGACATAGAATGCTCTGCTCCCTTTGCTGTGCCTACCTACCCCCACTCTAAGCCCCATAAAGCAGAATTCAAAATTGATGTCAACTATGAAGTAATTCAGACTTCCAAAGAAGGAAAGTGTTCTGTTCAGGGCAGTGTGAGCAAATCCACAGGGATGTTAAAATTTGGTCCAACTCAAGGTTTATGGGCAGTAAGCCTAGAGTCTCTTGAGAGTAAGGCTGAGCATTTGGGGAAAGGAGAATATGTAAGGTTTAGGAGTGCTCACTTTAGAACAAGATCCAGGAAAAAAAAAATCCAATGACATTTTAAACTAGATTGTGTTATTATTCAATACTATTACTTTGGGCAGACAAATCAGTTGAATGGAAGGGCAGCTGGCAGAAACGAACAAGTTACAAGGTAAAAACATCCCCAATGTCAGTTGTGAGATGATATGTGTTTGATGATGATGAATTTTATACTGAAGTGGCCCGGAGGACATTTTTTGGATGCACTGGGTTTACACTACAAAACTCTCTGTACAAGAGCAGGTTCCACTTGCACCTGTGAAATAAGGTAGTGGGTGTGTACTATGTTATTGCCACAGTTCTCATCTTTGTGGATTCACAAACCCTTTCCCATAAAGAGCTTGCTATTAACAAAGGCTCCTTGTTTCTGTTGTTTTTATATGGGAGAATAGAAAGAGCTTGGAATTTCATTTGTCTAAGCAAGTGGTATGATTTACAAGGAGCTAAATCATTCAAGACAGGTTCAACAGTGTATCATTCTTAGCATTCAATACAATGTTTATCATAAAATACGCACCTGAGTTTATGTTTTTCTGCCAGGCTGTAGGGGCAATAATGTCTTGCTATGCAAACACTCTATTTTACGTGTGAATTTTTTTAACTATAATTTTATGTGTGAATTTTTTTAACTAAAAGTCTACCATCATTTTCTATGTTGACATCTGGGTTTTTTAATCTGTTTCCAAGTATCTTAGTCTGCGAACCATCTCATCTGACTGGATACTAGCCTAAAATCCTATTAGTGCTTAAACGGACCTCAGAAGCACCCCAAGCCTCTAGGCAAATGCAGAGATGTTGCTCTTCAATATATCTTGGGCCCTTGATGGCTTCAACAAACAAGATAATTCCTTTAAACTCAACATTTTCCATAGATGCTTTCTTCTGTGTTTCATAGAGGAGAGTAAACCAACCCTCTTTAGTTTTCCAAAGGAAGGAAACTCCTACCCCAGACTTCAGACCTGGAAGGGACGTTAGAAACAGTAGAATCTGACACCTCTTCTGCCTTTCAAGACGAGGAAGTGAGTCCAGAATGTTTGGGAACATGCCTCAGCCCACCTAGTACCCAGTGGCAGACCTGGGTGTCATCCTGGGGCCTCCTAAGGCCTGACCTTGTATGCTCCTGCCCCCCTCCCCGGCCCCAAGCACTTTTTAGTATGGCTGGAGACACGTGACCCCAATGTCATTCTTCTCAAGACCTTCGCTGTGGAAGTCATGGGAGACTGCACAGTGTTGGGCATCTGGCCTTTAACTTTTCCAAACATTTTAAGTCCCTGATTCTTGTTGGAGCGGTTAAGGAGCAACTTGATGTTTTTATAGGCCTCTGATTCTGTTGTGTGTATGCCATTCTAGTGAGTACCAACCTGCTTGCTATAAAGTAAGCAGCAGCATGTTTTGACAAATTCATTTTTTCCTTGGGCACTTACATTTTAATTACAAAAATATGGCCCTTATAGGAATAGATAAGGGCTGAGCAGTGGCTTGCTTTGTAGAAACTGAGGTTCTGACCGTAACCAAGCAGGTATTTCCTCTGCCTTAGACTCAGAGGTACATTTAATCCAACGGCTCCATCTCCTCCTCTTCTAGTACTAGCTGTGAGACCCAATGAGTTTCTATCCCAGTGGAATTTCACTCTCTGCTAAACCTCATCTTCACTGAGCAAAGGGGGATTATTCCATGAGGCAGCAAGGACTAAGGGCCCACAATATTCATTACTTTGCTGGGCATTTTTCAAAGTGTCCTTGAACTTAGCAAACAAAACTTCCTGAAAAATCTCTCAAAACTTAGCCATTTGGCCAAAAATGGATGACTGCTCCAAAAGTCTGAACTTCTTGAAACTCCATCTGCAATGCCATTACTTCTGGAATTTGAACATGGCTTCTTCTGTCTTTAAGTATAGGTGTGTTTGTTTAACAATGCACAAGTCTGTTAAACAGAAGGCTCCAAGCTGTGTTCTACACTTGGGAAGCCTTAGCGCCATCTTTATTCTACCAAGTGCCAAGCACCCTGGCTAAAGGGGGTGTATATTACAGCCCAAGTCCTAAGCTTAGAAGCTTTAATGTACTTTTTTTAATGAAAAATATTAGACGGGGTTGAACATTGTAATTAAAAGCATAAGGTTAGACCAATTATATGCAAAGATGTTTATTTAATATTGTGTGAGCTGAGTCCTTCTGTATAAATTATTTGCACACTTCTCTTGCATGATGAACTGATTTTTTTATA